CTTCCAAAGTTTTACTGTGGAATTTTTCCAACATGCCTATCAGCAATATATCACAATTAATATTTACTGCATTTCTTCAGTTTTAATCTATCCCTATTCCATTTGTCAACACCAATCTCATAATTTTTGCTGCCTTCAAATTAGGCTGTAGTATTACTTTAGAGGGGAGGCACAGAAATATAAAATGTTGACACATAAAATCATGTACCACCAACACAATCAGGGTATAGGACAAGGATTGGCACACTATGACCCGGCAGGACAAATCTGGCCCTTTGACAGTGTTTATAAACTTTTCATTGTAATGTAGGGACTCACTAATTGCAAAGCCAAAATTACTCATTCTCTGGCCCTTCACAAAATAAGTACAATGGTAGTTGTGGTTTTGTAGATGTCCTTTATCAAATTAAGAAATTTCCCTTTTATTCATACTTTGCTGAAAATTTTTATCATGAATAGATACTGAATTTTGTCAAATGCACATATTATATCAGATATTTGTTTTCAATGGATAAATTATATCAACTGATTCTTAAGCATTGAAACAGACTTGCCTTCCTGGGAAAAATAGCACTTGATCACGATTTATTATCGATTTTATACATCATTATATTTAATTTACTAATACTGTTGAGGATTTTTGTGGCTATTCATAAGGGTTATTAGTGTGTTTTTCTTTGTATTATTTTTGACTTCGGAGTCAGAATAATTCTTATCCCTTAAATGCCTCCCCTTCGTGTACTTTCGTGTTTGGTTAGCCCTGGTGTTATTTCTTTCTTATGTGTTTGATGGAATTTGCCGTGAAGCAACTGGGCCTGAATTTTTCTTTGTTGGAAAGTTTTTAACTATGATTTAATTTTCTTTAATAAGTACAGGACAATTCAGGTCACTCTAATGTCCTCTTGAGTTTAGAAGTTGGTGTCTTCCAGGAAAAATGTTCAGTCCATTTAAGTTGTGAAATTTGGGAGTATCAAGTTGTTCATTACTATCCCTATAATGTCTCTAAGATTTGTATTGATGTCCCTTCTTTGATTTCTGATTTTGATCATTTATATCCTCACTGTTTTTTCCTTGACCATTCTGTCTAGAATTTTATCTACTTTATTGACCATTTCAAAGAACTAGATTGTTTTCATTGATTTGTCTCAAGTTTTATGTTTTAAAATTCATTGAGCTCTGCTTTAACATTTTTTATTTTCTTTGTTCTGCCTGTATTGGGTTTACTTTGCTTTTCTTTTCGTGTCATATGAAGTCAGTGAAGCTGAGATCATTTGATTTGAGACCTTTATTCTTTTCTAATAAAACATTTAGTCCTATAAATTCTACTCTAATTTTAGCTGCATCACAGATTTTGGGGGGTTGTATTTTCACTTTCAGTCATTTCAAAGTATTTTCTAATTATTCTGCAAATTCCTCTGACCAAGAGCAGTTCAGGAGTAGGTTGTTTAATTGCAAAATATTTGAGGATTGTCTAGGTGCATTTCAGTATAGATTTATTGTTTATCATGTTACCATAGAACACAATTAGTATGATGTCAAGTTCATAAATATGTTGAGGTTTCTTTTATAGCTCATAATATAGTCTATCTTGATGAATGTTTCACATGCACTTGCAAAAAGATGTGCATTCTGCTGTTACCGTTGTTGATTGTGCTGTTCGGAACTTCTGTATTCTAAACTTATGCCTACTGGTTCTATCGGTTACAGAAAGGAATACCAAGGTTTCTAACTATAATTTTGTTAGCTTCACTTATATTTAAGACTGCTCTGTCTTCTCAGGGAGTAACCTTTCTATCCTTGTGGTATATTCGTCTGTCTACCTAGTGACATTCCTTCTTCTGAAATATACCTAATGTTATGCTGATAGAGCCACTTGAGCCTTCTTTTGATAAGTATTTTGTGATATTTTTATTATTCCTTACTTTTTAACCAATTGATAACTTGTAATATAGTTGTGTTTTGCATTTTTACCCTGTGCAAACATCCCTGTCTTTTAATTAATATATTTAGACCATCTGTCTCATTGATAATGGTGGATTTTCAATCTACCCCATTACTTATTGTTTCTCCTCTTTACTTCACCTGCTCTCTATTATACTTTCCCCCATTTTTTTCTGCCTGTTCCTAGATTATTTTTAGAGCTCCATGTTTATTCACATTTCTGGCTCTTTACTTATATATTTAAAAATATTTTAAGAGGATACCCTAGGATTTACAAAACGAAATTTTAATTTGTCATAGTCTGGCTTCAAATAATATGACTTTGTTTTACCTGGAGCCTAAGAACCTTATGATGGAATGTTTCTAATTTCTCTCTCTCATGTTCTGTGCTACTGTTGCCATACATTTTACTTTTGTTATATGTGCCATAAACCACAATATATCACTACTGTTCTTGCTTTAGGCAGTCCATTATCTTTCGGAGCAATTCAGAATAAGAAAAAATGTCATTTACACTTATTTTCATTTTAACTATTTCTCGGTGTCGATTTTCATTTCTTTTTATAAACCCAAGTTTCTGTTTGGTATCATATACTTTCTGCTCAAGAAATAAACCATCAGCAGTTCTTGTGGCCTGGGTCTCAAGGCAATAAACTGAGCTTTTGATTGTCTGAAAAAAGTATTTTATTCACCTCATGTGTTAGAGCTGTTTGTGCTGTGGGTGGTGTTCTGGGTTGATGCATGTTTTTCCTGTGTGCACTTTAGTCACGTCACTCTGTCTTGCATGGTTTCAGACAAGTTTGATGTCACTCTTATACTTTTTCCTTTGTCTGGAGTGTGTCTTTTATTTCCACCCCAACCCTGATGCTTTCACTGTTTTCTTCATCTTTTTTAGAACAGTTTGAATATGACGTATCGTGGGGCGTGGTTTTGTGTATTTTGTGAAGGTGTTTATTCTGCCTGCAGAGAAGCCCGGACAGGTGGGCACACACAGCACAGATGCCTGAACGTGGACGTGCCTCTTCCGTGGAAACATTCGTGTGGGGCTTTGAGGCGACAGGGCAGGAGCTGAGTGGGTTTGGGTCTCATTGTCGGCACCGTCAACCTCGGTGCACCGTACACGTCAGCGCAGGTGGGGTTCTGGACCGCAGGTGCATCCTCCCCAAGTATGTTGGAGTCCTAACCCCGGTATGATGGTATTTGGAGGCAGGGCCTTTCAGAGGGTGGAGCCCCAGGAATGAGACTGGCATGCTTATAACTGGCAGAGGCCCGGCTCGCACACTTTCGGCCATTTGAGGATACAAAGAGAGGTCCGCCCTGCCCCAGGGAAGAGGGCTCTTACCCTCCATCCTGACCATCCCAGACATTCAGCTTCCAGAGCTGTAAGAAATAAATCTCTGTTGTTTTGAAGTCACCCGGTCTGCAATACTTTATTATAGCAACTTGAACCACACCAGGTGGGGAAGGAGGTCATTCTCGGACTCGCGGCTCCTCCCGCGGCCGTCGGCGTTCCCTGTGCACCTGTGTCCATGCTCGCTGCCCCTGCACTGCTCTCAGCTTCTGCTTGTCGCCTGGTGTTTGTCAGCCTGGTGGTGCAGGGCAGCGAGATTCTGTCACCCTGCTCGGGGGTCAGAGTGGGGTGGGCCTGTGGCTGGGGGCTGGGGGGCAGCTTCCGGAGGACCCCTACCCGCCTCGTGGCGGTGAACCTTGGCGATCGTGTGCAGAAGTTTCCTGACCTCCCGCAGGTAGTAGGAAACCTCTGATGATACTGGTGTAAACCCTGCGCCAGGTCCGCCTCCTGCTTCTCCCGTTGGGCCCGAGCGTTTGGCTCATTAGGGGGAGGAGGCTGAGAAGGGCTCGGGGCCTTTCCTCCAGTACCGCCTCCTGGGCTCGGGACTGGGGTCGGCGGGAAGGAGCACGCGTGTGTCTGCGACCCGCTGTTCTGTCCCCTCAGGCTGGCTCACTCAGCCTTCAGACATTTGTTAAAAAGTTTTCCAGGGAACTTCTCACTGTCCTGTACTGTGCCAGTGTCTCCTGCTCCCGAAGTCCGCCGCAGATGGACCGACGCTAATACCTCTTTTTCAGGAGCCTGCTTTTCTTTGAAGTATGGGCCCCGAGAGTTCTCATCTCTGTGATGGGTTCATGAAAACTCAGGATGTTGGTGTTAGTCTGACTTTTTCTTGCTTTTCGTATAGGACAGCTGTGAAACTCCGTGCTACACGGCCATGCTGCAAACTGTCATTATCTAAAAGAGTGTTGCTGTTGACTTGCATTAACGTAGTTATAAAATCATAGTTATCCTTTAAATATTTCCTGCTTCTAGACACTTTGGTATCTCGTTCTCATCGTTAGGTTCTAGAAGTAGATACAATTTTAACAAGATTTTGGAAATAGAATAACGAAATAAAGTGATATTTTATCAGTACTTCTTAGAATCTGAAAATAAAACATTTCTTATTGAAACTATGATCATAATCAAGGAAAGGGATTTTCAGTTTTCCTGCATGTAGTTTTAAAGCTATTGCTAGATACGTCTTTTAATGAAGTATCATGAATGTTGTGACTGTCTTTTGTCCAGAACTGAAATCAGGTCTCTGAGATTCTAAGTCCTCACAAAAGCACAAAGAAGTCCCCTCCCCAGTGGTACTGAGTATTACGCTGCTTTTTTTTTCTCTTTTTCCACGAATCTTTGGTCATTTGGATTTAGGAGGAAAAAGGTCTTGAAGTATTTATTAAGTTAATGTTATACTTTCCATGAGAAAAACATACAGTTATAGAGGAGTTATAGTTGCATTAAAAAGTTGCACATTCTTATGAGTTTATCAGATGAATAAAAGAAAGTTAAGCCTGCCCTAAGAAAGTCCCCACAATTATCTGAGTGTCTCGAAAGTTATAAAATCTGGTTGAGACTTAATATGACTACTTATAAAAATAGATGCTGCATTTAGTGTAACTATATAGTCTCTTGCAGTTCGAAGATTCAATAATTGTTACATCATATATCTCTGTTTTTAGCAATTCGAAAATCGCATTTACAATGAATTTTTCTATGATTACAGGTTTTATATGGGGAGAAATTAAACAAATGTGGGATGGTGGACTTCAAGATTACATCCATGATTGGTGGAATCTAATGGATTTTGTGATGAACTCCTTATATTTAGCAACAATCTCCTTGAAAATCGTTGCATTTGTAAAGGTAACTATTATTTATGTTGTTGGAATACTGTAAGTCCTGGTAAATATTGATATTGCTCCAATTGCTATTAATTTTATTAATAGTTATCTAGAGTATTTCTCTGTGACATTCTTCAGTTCATATTATTGATACATAGCTAGTACAATAAAATACATAATATACAATTTGTAGTCATAAAACAAAGTTTAATAAATAATTCAAAGTCATCACCCAATTTTCCTGAATTTAAATTGAATGATACCTCCAAGTTATTCACAATAGCTGCTCTAATTACTAATCCTTTCCTTTGCTAATGACATTCTACCTCAAACACTGTTTAAATTTTGGCAACCAAAATCTATTTTTATCAGTTCTAACTAACCGATAAAATTACATAGAAGATCAAAATATTACTCTTTCAAAGCACTGAAATTATTTCAGTTTAAACTAATATAGTTCAATATAATTAGAGCAGAATATAACGTCTCTCTCCTCATCCCATTCAACATGACAGTTCCTGAAATCCCACGCACCCACTACTCCCCAGGTATTGTACAACATCAGTCTTGCCCTGAACCACATAATTTACATAAAACATTTTTGTTCTGCGGTAACAACCGGGTTTACTTTGTATTCTGGGGGATGTTTTTCAAACCAACATATTATCATCTCTTCCTTCCTGCTTTCCTTATTCCCTCTTTTTCTTCTTTTCAAAAAACTTATTTCAAAATGATTAGTGAGTAAAAAATTGAGTGCCTAATTGGACCTCACATGAATAATTCATGCAATTTAGTTATCTGCATTAGAAAATGCTAACGTGTAGGTGAACGCTTATTCATTTAGTCTAGTTCTTAAAAATAGCAGCCTACATCTCCTTGTACAATGTTCAGCTATGACAAGGTCAAAATTATCAGAAGTTGAAAAGGCCGCAGTTTCTAGAATTTACTCAATTGAAGTATTTCCTGCACTTACCAAAAAGAAACATTTCCCACCAATTCCATGGAAAGCAAGCTATGCATTAGGAATGGAAATGTAATTCAGTAATTTTTCTTATCTGCATTGAGGTTACTGCCCTCAGAAAACTTATTAAGACAGAAGGTCCCGTTGTAATCAAGGAAGGTACACATCTATGTGGAGATGGACACTGTTGTTAAATGTGCATCTGTCCAATTTGTCCTTCCTTTGTGGTGGTCCTTAAGTATAAAGTTGTTCTGGACATCTCTCTACTAAAGGTGAAACATCAGTTTATTGTGGCCCCATTCGGTATGAAATCCTGGCATTACATGACTATAGCAGTTCTTAAACTTTCAGACGCAATAAAAACCACTGGAGGGCTAAAGCACAGAGTCCTTTTCTCATCCCCAGGGAGTCTGAATCAGGAGTATTAGGGGGAAGAGACACTTAGAATAGCCCTGGGCTGTCTAATTCAGCAGCTCAGTTGATTCCAGAAAGAACCTCTCTCAACTATTTCTTATATACCACAGACATCCAAAATACGTAATATTTTTATACATTTCATTTGTATTGTGTTTATACATTTTCATACATAAGAACTCTGGTATAAGTGGGTACCCAAGCAGTGGAGTTTACTAACGGATCCATTAGCAATACATAGAGTAATGGATACTTGTAGATTTTTGCCTTGATGGTTTGAGATATTCGATTTGAATTTTCTTAAGTTTTAAATTCCTCATGTGCATCATCTGTTTTAATTTGAAATATAAACATTGTTCTTAATTGTTCATAATTAATACATCTACACCAATGGAAAATTTACATTTAAAATCCAACTCACCCACCCCAAGTGATGGACAACAGGAAAAGAGGGGTGAAGGAAGATGGAAGACTACCCAGAAATGAGCTCAGATGGCGGCCAAGAAATAATAGGGAATCTCTGGGAAATATTCATGCACGTTGGCCTTGGTAGTCCAGCTCTGACTGCAAACGTCAAAGTGCTCTTTCTTCCCCAGCGACGGGTTTGTGTGACTAGAACTTGAGCCGCGTGGGTGGGGGTCACGGCATGCACGTCAGAGTCAGGCCTCTGTGCACGCTTCTCTCCCCCATCACTCCCTCGTGGGCCTCTTTCTGGGCCTTTCTGGGGCTCATCTAGAACAGAACAATACAAAGTCTACCTTATGCTGCTGGTGTGAGAAGTAAATGAGCTGGTATATTTAAAGTTACAGAGTCGGCATGAATTGTTAGCTTTTCTTCTTTCTCATTTATTCCTGCTTCTCCTTCTCCTCCATAGACTAGGAGCCCCCAGGAGTGGCCTTTTGTAAAGTCTTTGTTATGTCTCTTCGTTGGCTTTATTCCAGTTGAAAAGGAGTTTGCGCTCTAGATGCACACTTGCCCTTTCCTATGTGCGATCTGTGTGATTTGGGGCAGGTTATTTAATGTGGGCCTTTGTTTTATTATCTGTTAGATGACAGTTCATAATACTCAGAAGAGCGTTTACTGGGAATTGGTGATGTCATGCTGGCCTATTGGCTTACCCTTCCTTACCTTCTTTTGTTCTATCATTTCATTTTTCACGTTAACTTTTAGTAACTGTCAACTTAGTATTTCAGGAAAAGGTGCCTTATTTGTGTACAAAAATAAACTGCTATAAATAAGGCATACAGCCATTAGGAGAACCAATCAATAAAAACTGATGAAGGCACACTAAGAAACCAGGTTTTGTTCAGTTGTCTGAGGCTGTAAAGGTGCCTGAGTTACAGTCCCTGCCTTCAAGAGGCTCACGGTCAGGTCGAGGAAGGAGAAATGGGTATGCGTGTAACAAGGACGTTACTGTGTGCTGAGGTCTAACGTAGGGGCTATGGCAGCATCAGGAAGGAAGTAAACTCCACTGACAGTGTCCTGGGATGATAGAGAGGGCAGGGTGAGTGGGCATCTGTCACGTCCATGAGTGTGCATGAGCATTCCAGAGAGAGAAGACACGGTGTGCAAAAATCCGAGTGTATAAAGGGGGTCAGTATCTAAGAGGGATCATCCCAGAAATGAGGTCAGGGAGAGTATAAGAAGGACTTTCCACATCCTGCCATCGAGTTTGTTTTTTGTCCTATAAATAGTGAGCCATTAAACTGATTTAAACAAAGAATGAGTTAAATGGCGAATGCCTGAAGGAAAGCAGTGGACATAGAGAAGCTAATAGAAGGCTGGATTTGAAAAAAAAATCAATGGGTAAGATCCAAGAGATAGATGATTCATTCATTCTGAAGCATGGGGTAGCTGGCATCATCCTGATGCTCCATCCTAGTAAATAGTTCACCTCCCTGGTCTAGCAGGAGTTACAATTCATATTATCTCTTCTGGGCTCGTACAAGTTCTGCCTCCTGTCTGAATGCATAAATGGCAGCAATGAGCCAACCCGAGGTCTTTTGGCTAAGGCATGGATCCAGACCAAAAAGACTGTCAGCCCACAAAAAGGGAAACCTTCCTGTGATTGGTCTGCCCCAGAGAGGAACTTTTAGAATCGGTCTGGCAGAGGGCCACACTTGTCTAGTCGGCTCATTCTTTTGCAACTCATCTGCCTGCAGGGGATATTTTTGAAAACACATTAAATGTCCTAACCAAGGCTCATGGTTTGGGCTCTGATCCATACTTGATATGAGTACTGCCTATACCACTTCCAACCTGTATGATTTAGGGCAAGTTTCTTAATCTATGAAGATTTTTTTAATAGATTTTTCTTAACTGCAAAATGACAGTAATCACCAAATCCCTTAGAATGTGAAGATTAGATCAATAAACACATTTAATACTACAGAATAGAGCTTAATATAAGGCTAATTTTCATGGACAGGCAATAGCATTCTATTATACAGACAAAGACAGAGCCCAGAGGCACATGTGACTTCAGCCTTCTCTGCCTCACACACAAGGCTGTGTGCTGCTTCCCGAAATTCCTTGATTCATTAGCATTTCCCAGCTCATGCATTATTGCTTATTTTTTTTTTCTCTTTTGAAATTTTGCTCTTGATTCTTGAAAAAGGAGGTTTGCTAACCATTCTCAAGCTGCTCCCTGTGTCTGAGATGTTAGGTAATCCAGAGCTTGATGCTGTCCGGGCACACTGATCAAATGTTACTTTATCTTCATCAGGACTGGTTTTCCTCCTAAATGTTACCCAGTCCCTTTCCGTACGGAAACTTGTCTCATATTTATTTTCACTCATTTAGAAAATAATTAAATCCCCAAGTCTCTTCCAATGTGCAGTACAAACAATATTTTCAAAAATCAATATTATTATGAATAAGATAATCTATTTTAACAGTCATGATGGAATTTTTCATAGCATTCTTCTAAATAGTTCCAAGTATGGATCTCATTGATCCCTCCTAGGTTTACCAGCTAGAAAGAAGGCAAATATTGTTTTCCATTTCACAAATGCTGAAATTACAATGCACTTTCCCAATTATGTAATTTTCTGAACATTCTTTAGTTTTATGGCAAAGAGCTATAGAGATCTGAGTCCTAATTGTGTAATTTAGTGTTATCTACCACAGGAGAAAATCATATGTCTTTTTAGTACCTTTCACTACTTAATTATCTAACCAATCTACAGAAAATGAAAGATTTTTACCCTATAAATCAAATATTAAAACCAGTATACATTCCCTATTTAATTTCATATGACAAATATTTTCTTTGCATCCATTTAATTTTTACTTAGTTGTTGATTACTTCACTTTTATAAATATGCATCTGAGACTAAAGAGGACATAAAGATAAACTAACAAATTTTTCTCTACTAAAAGAACTTAAGATGCAGTGTCATGATAAAATTCATCTTCCTCTTTTACCACTTCTAATAAGGTGTTTATGGCTGCACCTTCCTCCTAGATCTATAACTATTCGCAAACCCACTGTATTCCAGTTCTATTAAGACACTCACATTTCTACAAATGATTCATCTTCTCTAACAGCCAGGCTTCTGAATATGTCTACGCCTCTTTACCCTAGAATGCCACTGGACCTCCTGTCATATATAAAGCACTTTGCTAGATGCCCAGCACCTCAGATGCATTAGACAAAGCTCCCTTCATGGAAAACTGACAAGTATTCTACGCAAGAACTCTCTGTTCTAACGGTCTGCTAGGAACAAGTCTCTTTAAAGGAACCTGAGTAGGATTGAAGCTTAGGGCAAACAGACTGCAGTAGGCTCACACTGGGAGCAAGCACCTGAGAGAAGCAGGAGACAGGCACTGAAGGCCCTAGAGGCCCACAGGCACGTAGGGTAGCTCTTGACGGCTCTTTCCCAGGGATTGTTCTGTAACCTGGAACGACCGGTGCTGGTCAGCAGGCTCCATGTCCACTCACCTGTGGCCAAAGATGACTTCTCAAGGGAAGGATTAGCATTTCTTACTTAGTATCTGCCTTCCTCACTTATTTTAAACCCATAATGGCACAAACCATATTTTGTTTGATCACCTCTATGAAGTCCGAAGATAGTGCCCGCAACACTAGGTCCTCAACATATTTGATGAATGAATAACAGCTGAAGGATCAAAATAATTAGAATCTAAGTCCACTCTAGACAAAGGGCCCAGTATGCAGGAATACAAGGGTAATTTGGGGGCATTACCAGTACTAAAAGTTTGAGCCAGAGCATGAAATACCCAATAGAGGACAAAGGGCAGGTTAATTTCAAAAGGAAATTAGAACCCAGATTCTAGAGGCTTCACGGGACATGTTGGGAAATCAGGATTTCATTTCAAGGACACCGCAGTCATCGAAGAAGTGAAGCAAGATGGGAGATGGTCTGTTTGGCCCTTTTAAAAGATGATTCCGGAGGAAGTAGATGATCGTCGGGATAAGGTTCAAGGCAGGGAGAGCAGTCATAGGACTGTTAACGAGAGCATCTGTGGAAACTAGAGGACCTTCCTTAGGACAGTGAGGATGCCAGTGATGAGGAGTGGGTACCACACGTAAGATGTCAGTCAGGTGGCTGGGAGCTGGGGAGGGAAGACCTAGGATCAACCTCAAATCCTGCCCTGGGTGATTAGCGGCTGTTCACCAAGATCAGAAACCGTAAGTGGAGAAAGAACGTGAGGATGGAAGATGATGAGTTCCCGTCTGGCCTGTGAGCCTGGGTCGCCAGGAGGAAAAACCAGTGAGGCCGGAGAGCGTAAGATACGACTGTCAGGAAGGGCGTCTGGGCCGGATGTGGGACTAACGATTGGCCTCGCAGGAAACACCCAGGGAGAGCAGATAGAGGAGAAGATGCTCCGGAGACAAACTCAGCATCTGAGGGGCAAGGGGGTGAGAGGAACCGACAGGAAGTACTGAGAAGAGGTGCCACCCAGGGCTGGACGCAAAGCTGCAACGGGAAACCCAAGTGCACATTTTGTGAATAAGTTTTAGAAAATGGAACCATGAAAAAATTGTGAATTGAAGTTTAATTTTAATTCCTAATAATAGGTGTAGAAAATGCATTTAGGAACTGGGGTATATTGCTGTCTTCTCTAAGAATTCAAAGAACACCACAGTTTCTAAGAATTTTAGAAATTGCTTCGTAAAACAACACCCAGATTTAAAAACCTAAGTTATATGCATGTGTGAATGACCAGAGAAAATGTAAATAAGCAAAACTTCAAAGAATGAAATCAAGGGATAATTACCTAATGTGGACATCTCTATTTATTCCTGACAGGAAATGAGGTTTCTGGATCAGAGAACAGATTATTTACTGACGTAACCATCTTAGCTTGGTTCCCTAGGCTCCAGTCCCCCACAGGGCAGCAGATGAGAACCAGACATACCCTCCACGTACAGGAGCTTGTGCCACAGGAGAGGAGCTAGGATCTGAGAGCTTGTGCAGTGCAGTGGGTCTGGCTGCCCGTCCTGCCCCTGGCAAAGGAGTGAGCTTGCTCAAGTGAACAAAGTCTCTCTGGGGAGGCAGGGGTCCCTGGGTTTGTTGTCCTTAGAATGTGAGCAGATGGTTTAGGGAGGTGTTTCCAACTCTCTCAGGAGTCTCTGTCTTCAACTCGTAAGGCTTATTTGCCATTCAGACATCCTCCAACCCAGACACCAGCCATGTCTCGCTTAGGCAGCCCTGACCCTGCAGAATCGTGAACTTACGCATGTAGCATGTGTCCCGACAATTAGCGGGAGCTCTAGGCTCTGAAGCCGACTTGGGTGATCACCCTGGGACCGAAGATCACATCTCACCATAGGTACAATGGGACATCCTTCCTTCTGTGACTTGGGCGTCCCGGCTCAGATAATCTCCTAAGAAGGGTTCGGAAGTACAGGAGGTCCACAGCACAGCTGTGCTCACTCTGTGGTGGTGATTTCTACACCCAGTGCCCTCAAGCTGCCTGTGATGCCAGGACAGAAAAGCGCCTCTTCAGAGTTGAGACAGCACGCAGGGATCCTTAGAGCGTGAACCACACATGACCTGTATGCATCGCTGGTGCCGTCAGCCGCAGACGGAGTTCATCACTTTGTGTTCGTCTCAGAGCGCTTGCGTTACAATTACTTGGCCCCTTCATGCTCCCTAGACCAAGAGTACTTGATGGCACAAAACGTTTCGTGAGCACCTATTACCTGCAGGGCGTGATGTTAAATGCTCTGAGAAAGTCCAAGAAAACGATCGCATCCTTAAGAATGCCTAAGGATGTTTCATATTTTGTTCATTTCAAGATATAATCCATATTAGCTTAAAAAAGTGAGAGAAATACAGAATTAACCATCAGCAGAGGGGAGATGTTCTCTACTTAAATGTGTGACTTTTTAGTCAGGAAAGGAAGGTGACTGTGATCTTAGTCCTGGAAGGAAAAGGTGGCGTCGTACATGGGGGAACCCGGTAGAGAGAACCATGTAGTGTTTGATACCGCGGACCCTCCCTCTGGTATTTGTTATAATGAATTTTTGAAAATCTTATCATTTTTTATTTTTTCTATATCTTCAATCATTAGCTATTTTATGATGAAGTTATGCGTGAGAATGTTCAAGAACAGTTATCAGGATTTAAAAATAGAAAATAATTTCTTTCTAGTTTGAACTTGATGGTTTTAAATTGTCACTCAAGCAAGAGTCTGAGTGTTGGAGAAAATCAGGAGCTTGTGATGTGTTTTCTCCCAAAGGAGATTAAAAACTACTGTCTATTAGTTTCAGGAGACTTAATTCACATTTGTAAAGGTCTTGGTATAAAATGCAATAAAAAGAAGATGAAAATATTCTGGCAGGACTCATACAGAAGTAAACTTTTTCCTGACATCATTACCAGAAAAAAGATCCAGTTTCCTAGACATATTTCTTAGGTTGTATATAAAGAAAAGAATTCAACTTATTGTTTGGTTCCTATACAAGTTTAACTACTGTTTTTCATAATGCAGTATTTCAAAGAGCATATTTGACCCTTTTTTTTTAAGAGGATACTACTTTGCCTCAATAGGACAAGGGAAGATTTCATTTTGCTCTTTTTATTTCGCTCAATATCAAGATAATTCAAAACTGACAGTTTAACAAAGTCTTACTTTTTAAATAATTGCTAGTCAAAGTTTGCACAGCAAATATTTTCTCGCATCACATATTTTACCTAATTACGGAATGTGCAGACAAATATCACATTGTATACACATTCAATATAAAAATGTTAACGATTATTTTAAAAATTATTAACAATTATATAAAAATGAACAATTCATTGACTTCCAGGGTAATTTCCAAGATAGGCTTTATCTCTGTTTAGGGCATAATAGATATGAAACACCAGCAGTTATGCGCATATTGGTCATTCCTGTTTCCAAAGCAGCAGACCACCGCCTTCACACATTGATATGAAATTTGTGTCCTATGTGCATTCATCTGGAACTGGCAAGTGCACCCAACATGGTCCGTAAAGCCGTTGGTTTTGTTTGAAATGCAGTCATTTTCCTTTATAACGTAGCTTTCTTTATTTTCATGGACTGCTGTACTTTTCCCAACTTGAAACCAGATTTCTTTCTGATGTACTATTTTCCTTTTCTTTTTTTAAAGTTCTACTGGAAAGATCAAGGACAGATATTAATTTACTGATTAACAAATACTACAAGTGATGAGGACAGACCAGGAAGGTCGCTTGGATTAAAGCTCACAGATCGCACACTGCCCCAGCGCACTTTCCCTTTCTGTAGATTAATGGTGCTGCCACCGTCACGGAGGACACCAGCTTCACGGCACTAGGCCCTGGCATCCTGGAGGGGACATGTTGTGTTCACACGTGTGTGTGTGTGTGTGTGTTTTATTTTTCTCTTTGCTTCTCTCTTTTCTCCAGTACAGTGCTCTTAATCCACGAGAATCTTGGGACATGTGGCACCCCACTCTGGTGGCTGAAGCTTTATTTGCTATTGCAAACATCTTCAGTTCCTTGCGTCTGATTTCCCTGTTTACCGCAAATTCTCACCTGGGGCCTCTGCAGATATCTCTGGGAAGAATGCTGCTGGACATTTTGAAGTTTCTGTTCATATACTGCCTTGTGTTGCTAGCATTTGCAAATGGCCTCAATCAGTTGTACTTCTATTATGAAGAAACAAAAGGGTTAAGCTGCAAAGGCATACGATGTGAAAAGCAGAATAATGCATTTTCAACGTAAGTGCGGACATTTCTGTTGCTAAGGTTATGCAGAATCAAAGTGTATCGCATGATGAATTTGGACCATGACAAAGCCACTTTGCACAGTGGTTGCAGAGAAATTGTGCTCCGTGCAGAGGACAGAATTAACATGGCTTTGAGTCCAAATGGATCCTTCTGACATTTAAAAAACATCCAGTACATTTATTTTAAGTTGCAGTAAAATTGTCTCTTCTCTTAAATGACCTCCTGTGAAGGGAAGCCATCTATGCTTTTTTAAAATGTGGAATAAAAAGGAAGCCTGTGGCCTACTGACAGTTTACAAGCATGCTAAAAGACAGAATATATGTAAAAACCAATCATGTAAGAAAATCCAAGTGCTTTTCAATGTTTCCTCTGTGTTTTCCAGACACTAATATCCCTTCACAGTCTCTTTTATTCTCTAGTTCCCTGTGCAAAAATGCAAGCTTGTAGAACTAATCCAAAACAGAAACCCAAGGCTAACCTAGGCCCTTATTATCCACACTTAAGTCCCTGTGGCCTTACACCCGATGAGCAATTGGCCTTGGGCAGTGCCGGCCTCTGGCAATTCTCAGTCAGGCCTGCTGACAGCACAGGGTCACGACCACGGTGTCTGGTGCCCAGACACTCCTTGGAATACACCTGCACGGATGGGCCCGATGAACGAAGAAGTTGGCTGATTTTTCTCAACCCAGTACCTACGTGGTCATTTTGTAGTGACTCTCAAAGCCAGACCCAATTCAAGGGCCGCCACAGAATTTTATATAATAGAAGAGAGAGCAATAATTTCTCAAGTGGGAGGACATCAGTAATTTCACATAAACTAATCCCTTATGGCTATAAAATGCTTATTAGTTCAATTCAGCATCGGTTTTATCCTTGATCCCAAATATATAAAATTCCCTTTTTATTAATCGACATCCAATTCTTTGCACATAAAATTTTAATCTCAGCCCGAGCTGCCTCAAACCCTTTCAGAAATAGATGCGATACAAACTGTGAGTCATGAAGGAAACAGGAAGTCACCCCAGATGCCCGCGGTCGCTTCCCTCCTCGCCCCAGCCTCTTTCTCTCTCCTGAGCAGCGTCTTCCAGCCCGGCCAGCTACTCAGCCTCGCGGTCAGCCTGCTGGTCTTCTCTGACCCCGGCCAGGAGGGACACAGTGAGACCCCTAGTCCTGTGACCAGTGTGGCCGTGGGCTGTGTCTCGGTTTTGAGGATCTGAGCTTGGCTTTCCCCACTCACTCGCCCTCCTTAACTTGGTGATTCGCCCTTGGTAAGGGATTTACAGAGGCCAAGCCCCAGCAACCTCCCCTCTATGGGCTAGACTTCTGCCTCTGACAGCTTCCTGGGCGTTCTGTGCGGGGGCCTGCGTCCCCGGTGTCTGGGCCGAGCCCCCCGGCACAGCCTGCCTTTCACATGCCCTGATGCACACCGCTTGCCCAAACCACCCCTTCTGTGTGCGCTGCAATAGCCTTCTGATTCCATGCTCTGTCTTCCCCAAAAGTCGTCCACACAGCGCCCAGAACTGAGTTCCTTCCCCTGGGCTTCTTTCATTCAGGGAGCAGCTCTGATCCTCAGACATCTGATTCATCTGCAATTAACAAGGTTATACCAAACCCCATCCTAATTTATGATCCCAAAGACCCCCCCGGAGTCCCCTTGACCTATTACTGCTTTTGTGGTAAGTGATTACATGTTACGAACTAATTTTAGTGTCTGCCCAAGGACAGCATCGCTAGAGAAATCTGATGCGAAATATTTAACATAGATCATATTCTAAAAGCAGATATATGGAATTGCTTGGGTTATGTATTATTTTAGTGCAGCTGCACCAATGGGTTCTTCCATAAAAGCAACAGATAATTTAGTATCTCCATTACTCTGGCTCCAAATCAGTCAACCCAAATCAATCGGGTGTTCTGCCCAACTCCTTTTCAGGTAATGGAATGTAAATCTGCAAGAAACAAATGAGTTTTCCTCCAAAGTACTCAAAACTAAGAACTATAATAATAATTCCTAGCACTATTGCTGTACTCAAATGTATACAATGTCCTAGGCAGGCCCAAGTTCCCTGTCCCCTGGCGGCTGAGTCTGTGTCATGGATTTCAGTCACTGTGACAGGGTGTCTTGACGGTGCCCTCAGGGCTCCTGCCGTACATCTCATTTCTGTGCCTTTGTTGGTCTTTGATTTTTCTTTTTATAATCCTGTGACTTCCATAAATTGCAACCTTTTTTGTGTTTTACTAGCCCCTAGCTCAGAGATCACATTCCATATGAGGGTTCAAAAACATAACAATTGATGTCCGGTGCCTAATACAGTGCCTGTCCTATAAGGTGCTTAAAAAATGTTGCCCTACTCCGCTTCTTTTTATCATCATCAGTAGTAGATACCACAATACCACTCGCCTGGATCCCACACAGTTCCTCTCCGTTACGACTTCACTCAGGTGCAAATACACGCTGAAACTTTGAACCCTGTTTCCCAGTAGCTTCTGCTCTTTCAACCCAGCAATCCTGAAGAAGAGCTTAAATAAGACGCTTTCTCTTACCCTTCGTCCAGATGCTTTTGACTGCTGCTTCCAACACACCCTGAAACTACCCTAGAAAATAGCCAGAGCCTCCGAATCACCATCAGCGGACACTTACCTCTTTATGTCTTATTTCCCGTGTCTGCATCATTTGACCTTGCTTAGCACTTCCAGTCTTGGAAGTCCTGCCCTCCTTTAATATCAGTGTTACTATGTTTTTTAGTTCATCTCTTACTTCTTGCATCTTTCCCACTGTTGTCTGATCATTACATTTCAATGATCATTTTAAATAGTCATCTGCTCTGTGACTCCCCTCAGATCTATTGTAGTTTCTCTATGAAAACTATATGCTCATGGGTTTGGCCCCAAGAGGGGTTCCCTCTGTTCCTGTCACTAGCACCAAGCTCTCTTCCAAGGTCCATGAGACCGGCTCCTTTGGACACCTCTCCGTGTGTAGCTCCGAATATTTACACCCTCTGTGAACACTCATCTGGGTCTCTAACAAAACTTGTTCTCCCTCCTCCTCAACTCCCTTTCTTAGCGCTACCAAAACCCGCCTGGATACTTATAAATCAGAAGCTGTGCGTTGTCCTCCATCTCCCCCCCACCAGGTGGTCGGTCACGTCCACTCCTATCACAGCCTCGGAGTCTCTCCCTTGCTCGCCGCCCATGCCTGACACCAAGTTCCCCTGCCCCCGGCCTCTGCCTTCCCTTACATGTCTTCCTTCCTGTTGCCTGAGTGATCTTTTAAACCAAAACCGTGGCACTCCTGTGTCTAAAGGGTCTCGTGGTTCCTCAGTCCTCCCTGGATTCATCAATTCCGTAGCCCCGCACACCGACGCTCAGTGACCTGCCCTCGCTTCTGTTTACAGCCGCATTGTTCTCATTCTCCAGTGACGCTTCTGTCTCATCGGCATCTCCTACTGGTCAGCAACCCCCAAACAGGTCCTATTCTTCTCTCCCCCCAAAGGCTCCTGTTCTGCCCTCCCACCTTGCACTACTTGATTGTTCTCCAAAACCCACCTCGGGAGCGCCTTCCCGATGCCCTCAATACCGTGAGGTCCCCCTGGGCAGAGACTGTGAGCCATACCTCTCCCCGCATTTTTCCACCTGCAAACGGACACTTCATCCTCCTCTTTGAAGGTTTCCAGAATCTTTTTTCTTTACCATGGGAAGAACTGAATGTTACTAAACGAAACCACATGTCTAGTCACTATTCTGTACAGCTATAAACTAATAGTCTCTGGGTAAAGAGCTGTCCTAGGAAGAGAGGGGCCTCGTGACAGACAGATTCTGTCTCATTAAGAGAAACCCTTTGGCTTACTGAGCTGTGCTTCTCGTCACTGGAACCAGCCATTAAGTCTTGCTTTACTTATTTTGATACCACATTATCCCTTATAAACTAAGAGTAAACTACCCAGATGTGTCTTGTATTAGTTTATGTTCCCTCAGCTGTCCGTATCCCACCACAGAATCAGGGCAATACTTGTCACATAAAGGCGGTCTGAGACACGATGCGGCTAATGCGTTATGGACAGTGTCATTGTCGATGGGGTTTGGGAATAACTAATTGTGAAAATATTTCTAGAAGCAACGTTTCCAGGCTTTGAAATGTTAAACTAGATTTATTTCTTTAAATCCTATGAGTAAAGAATAATTAAATAAGAAACACCAAAGTCTTGATGCCACAGTCTTAATTCATCTTAAAGTAAATATATTTTGGTAAAGTGGAAGTGTTCTGTGCATCCCCCTTCTGACTCATTCCACTGAAAAAAGGAAGAGGAAATAAAAATGAGAATGAAATCCTGTGTCAATCACAAAATCTCATCTTAATTTGAATTTTCACCTTTTCAAATTCTAATTAAAAATGTAACTGAATGCTTTGCCAAAGAGTTAGATTAGGATGTTAGGGATTATAAGAATCCCTGATAATTACTAATTCGTATTTATACAAAAGCAAACCAATATTATTCAACCATAACAGTTCATTTATTCTACATCACTGTTCTCATTTCAACATGAAAAAAAAAGCCACTGTATAGGATTTAAGTGGCAGCATTTTACATAATTTATTTTATCACTTATATTACATAACTCCTAGCTCACTGGCTGGCCTGCTATTGATGTCAGGGGGAAACCAGCCGAATTATATTTATATATATGGAGTGAGACTATATACTAGTCAGAAAGAAAGAACAAAGTTACCTCACACTGAATCCAAATGACACTAGCAGTAATTTTGGAAAATGTCTTTAAAGCTACTAAAAATAAGGACTCACGGCCTTGGGTCACATTTGTTTTTTTCCTAAGGAAGTTTTCAAAGAATAATTTCTCGTGACCTTTGTCTAGGGCCAATGAATCATATTAAAATTTTCCTGAGACTATGAGCATCTGACTTCTGGGACATCTTGCAGGAGATAGATGCTCAGCTCGCTACCTAACACACATCCCTGCTCGTAGGCCCAGGTCAGCACCCCTTACCACTTGATGAAGATTATCTCCACGGTTGAACAGCTCCAGCAAAATAAACCAATAAACAATTACATCTCATATCTATACAAGTAAAAATATGAAATGGTCTGCTTTTCAAAAAAGAGCAATGAATTCGAGAAAGAGGCTCTGAAGGCCAGTGAGGGCCTCCTGACTGCATGCTGCTTATGCGGGCCAGAAATTCATGGGTCTGTCCTAGTAGCACGAGCCTGGCACACAGATCGCACATGGCACTCGAGCTTTTTGATCATCTGAGCCAGGGTCGGGCCAAGCCTGGCTTCTGGAAGAGCAGGAGTTGACCCAGGTCTTGCCCACGGGATTTTTGACTCAGGAACCGATGTTCACATGATCCAGCTGCCCCATGTGTCCCTCCTCAATGTTCACTCAGTACCTGGCTGGTTTGCCCTCAGCTCTCAAACCTTGGGCTTCTCCTGACTCCAGGGGCCCTGACTCTGCACCTCAGCTCTGGTAGTGCTTGAGCCCCATTTGGCAACTGCCACAAAGGTAAACTTCCACAAAGAGGAAATATGATGGCTTGGGCTCAGCTCTTCCTGTCAGACGGTGCCCCTGTCCACTGGCCTTGCAGGAACTGAACCTCCTTGGGTCACTTCACCGCTGAAATCTGTCTCCTTAGTCACCACGCCAGCCATGAGAGAGTTTTTGATTTTACCCTGTAATTTGGCTATGTTCTTATTTTAACCATTTGTCAAGGGGCATAAGAGTACTGTTGTCTTTTTATTACATTAGATGAAGCGTTGTCATGGCCCTGCTGAGACAATTCTTATTTGAGTTCAGATGTTCTTCATCCTGTCCCATTTCTTAGAGCAAGTTCAGGAAACATTATTTTCAATAAAATCACCCAAGTTCTTTCATTGGCAGGAATGAGTAAAGTGTTCCCTTAAATATAAAAACACTGCAGCTTGTGTTATCTGTGTTTTCTGAAACATTTTGCCATCTTAAGAGACCTGCTATGGGCACTTTTAATTGTGTGGAAATTCATAATGATAACGTTACTTTAAATCCCTCTACTTTAAATCCCGGACATTTTTTAAAGACTGAGCTTGAGGCTCTCGCTTACCAGCTGTCACTCAGAGCCCTTGGTCAGGGGCACAAGGTCTCCATGGAAAGGACAGATAGTAAATATCTGAGGCTTTGCGGGCCACATGTCTAGCTGCTCACCTCTGCCATTGTAACAACAAGCAACTGTAGCCAGTAATGCATAAATGAATGAGTATGACTGTGTTTCAGTAAAACGTTACGGACATTGAAATGTGAATTTATATATTTTCACACATCACAAAATATCAGTTTTCTTTTGATTTTTTTCTTTGAGTTTTCTTAACTCAAAAGCCATACAAACACAGGCTTCAGGTCAGATTTGTCATCTCTCCCCTGTGAAAAAACAGCTTCCAATACTCTTGGGAAAATTAAAATGTACCTAGGAAAATCAACTACACCCTTTGTGCTAGTATGATGAAAACGGTTGTCTTCAATTCTTTTTATTAAGTTTAATTTTGTAATTCTTTCATTCTTTTTCATTGTGTAATTGCTGAATTAATCAGATACACATACTTGTAATCCAGTTCTATTGTTCTGTCTTACTGTGTAGCAGTTCTACTAATATGGGCCTTCATGTCATTTTATCTTTATTCCAGGTTATTTGAGACACTCCAGTCCCTGTTCTGGTCCATATTCGGGCTCATCAATCTGTACGTGACCAACGTTAAGGCTCAGCATGAGTTCACGGAGTTCGTCGGCGCCACCATGTTCGGGACGTACAACGTCATCTCTCTGGTTGTTCTCCTCAACATGCTAATAGCTATGATGAATAATTCTTACCAACTTATTGCTGTAAGTCATACCACTTTATTTTCACCCATTATTCCCCTTAGACTGCGTTGTTCCCAGCTCTACTCCATGCTATGATCAGAGGTAACACAGTCTGTAATTGGCTCTTGATGACACAGATGGGGATTAGAAAACTAATGGTTAATTTGATGTTCCTAAGTGGTAACGCACCACATTTAGCTACATGCTATAGTTTTGTCATGTTACAGATGACTATAAAATAAACTAAATCCATCTTGCCAGGCAGTCATTGGTTGTGGCAAGTGCGGGTGAGTGTGAATGGTAAAGGGGCAGTTCATCCCCAAGGCCTTTGGACTTTGCATTATCTCTGTCCGGGTAGCCATGATCTTCACTTAAGCAAGCACATGCCAGCGGGGCAGGGACCAAAGCCAGCCCAGAGAGGGACCTGATGGCGAAAGCCACCAGGTTTTTAGTTTCTCGAACAGGAAAAGCAAAGTAGGAGTGACCCCTGAATTCTGTAGCAGAACAGACAACACCATATGTGTTTACTTGCAACTCTAGAATCCAAAAAACCTTAGCCTGCTTATCCATTCATTCAACAAATTCTTATTGAGTATGACTCTGTTGCCAGGTACTGTTCTAGGAACTGGAAATTCGGCCATGAACGAGAAAGACAAAGCCTTTTATCCCCTTGAACTTACATAGCAGTGATGTATGTCCACAAAACAAACCCACATTGGAATGAAACGTATTTCTAAGTCTCTCACATTTATACCTTAGACAAGTAGCATTTCATAAACAATTACAGGCTGCCCAGTTTCTCCGTAAATAACTACAGTTATAGTGCATCTTTGAATCTACCCCTAAACCTCCTGAGTGTTATTACGTGGGAAGCAGCATTCTGAATTTTACTTGGTTTAGGTGAGCACCTGTCACAGATGAAAAATGGCCGAAGACATAAGAATAGATGGTTTTTATTTACTGATGCACAGACTGAAGTATTCCCACTGGAGGTGACTAGGTCCTAGGATTTGCATGTGAATATTTGAATTTGTGGAGCTTCATTTAAGCATTTTGCAAATCTGAAACTTCTAGATAGTCCCTATGTGTTTGCTTCAGAAGTTCTGTATTCTTCTAATCAAGTCGTTTGTACAGTGTGGATTCTATTTTCCGGACCACTTTTCCAAAAATATTAGGAAGCCTCTGGTGATCAAGCTGAATACAAGAAGCTGTAAATACAATTTGCATCCTGTAAAACATATAATGTATCAGTTTGATCAAGAAGAGAACCCTGTTCAAGAATAGTATGGCAGATTCTGTTTTGCTTCTCTGTGGGGTGTGTCTTTCTAGGTGGCTTCTAACAGAGAAGGGAATGATCTTCAAATTTCTATTTTTGTTCAGACTAAACTCTGATGCTCCTTGAGAGGGGGGAGCACTGAGCACCTGCCCCAGCCGTGCCTCCCGCCATCCCGTGTGTGATGCCTCCCTGCAGTGTGGACATGCCACGTATTTGATTGTCACCTGTCCCAAAACAGCAGAACTTACCCCGAGGGGCTTTCTCTTTTTGTCCTGTTGCCCTTAACTCGGAGCTTTAGGATAAAGCATGATAAAAATGTAATAATTGAAAGGCAAAAACAATCATGCATATCTAAAGCCTGCTTCTCACTCACTCATGTATTCGCTAATCAAATATTTATTGTGCACCGAGCATATGCCAGACATTGCTTGATCTTAGGGATACACAGAATAATGAAGTCCTTGCCCTCAAGAAAAAATTTAGTAGTAGGAACAAAAAGAAGATCAATAAATAATTTCAACATTGGGAAAAGGGATTTGAGAACATAGATGGAAGTAGAAAGAGCTGGGGGTAGGAGGCAGCTGAGAAGGATGGGAGTCGGGGCAAGCTTCCTAGGAGAGCCAATACCTAAGCTGACTTTTAAATATTGACTCAGAGTTAGAAGGTGGGTAGCAGAGGCTGGTTTTAGTCATCACCAGCCTGGAGCCTTGCACCTCCAGCTTTTCCAGCCACAGTAGACTTGGTCGGAGATGCTCCCAGAATCCCTGGGACAAAGGCCATGAACAAAGGGAGGTCCGGTTTATGACAGCCGTCAGGAAACAAAACGAGGTCGGGATGATCCTTGATTTGTGGCTCCCTGAGATTCAGGAGGAGCAGCAGGTCTTCACAGGCCAGCACTTGAAGTGGCTGCGCTTTCATTACCTTAAATTGATTCTACTGAGTCCCTGATCCCCACACAATATATACTTGTCTACACTGATGCAGAATCTATAAGCTCGTTTAAAAAGAAAGATAGGGACGGAGGGAGAAGGAGAGAAGAGGAAGAGGAGAGAAAAGAGAATGGATAGCTTCTGTGCTGGCATCTGTTGATCGGTCCATCCAATCAGATACTTGCTGAGCAACAAAGGCCATACATTGTCTGGATATGGTGACTGTTGCGGAAAAAACAATCTGTCTGGAGTCCAGACTAAAATGCGTATTGTTCAGAGTAGAATCGGATATACAATGCATGCATTCATTAGCACACAGCGATTCAGGAATGTTAGAAGGAAGCAGAGTCTAATATTCTCCTACTGTAAAATCTGTTGTTACAATATTAATGGGTTAAAGTGAACAATTTGAATTCTTAAAGTGTATGTATGCCTAGTTTCTACCACCTCCTACTTGCCAGATTTTCTGCTCAAATCAGATTTGTGGCTAATTTAAGAGGAGACTGACTGCCCTATATCTATTTGCCACAAGTGTTTCTTAGTTTTTCCAGGAGATTAATAAAGTGAAATGATATTTAATGTATGACGGGAGGGATGGCTCAGGCTTGTGAGCAATCACTTGGCCAAGGCTATGTCACAATTCAACGCTGTGTCAGAAGCAGCATCCGACATCTGTTAGAGGTACTTCTCTCTGAGTGTATGGGTGCTGCCTAAAGGGGGACAAGAATTATTCACATGGGAACATATCAAGTAAGACTTCTGCAAACGCAGAAAGCTACAGCATGAGCATCTGTGAAGGTGGCCTTCTCCTAGGACGGGGTTCAAGGCCTGGAGTAAGACACAAAGCCCCGTTTGTGGCCAGAATCTGCTGAAACTGAGCCTCTCTTAGCCTGCAGTGCAGCAAATGAAGACTCGTCAACAAGTCCTAACTAATCCCTGCAGGCTCTTTGGCACGGGATGATTTTAGATGTCTGTTTCCCGGAAGAGGGAGAGAGGAAGGGTGACCAGGGAGCTGTGACTCCCCACAGGGTGCGCCAGCACCTGAAACGTCGAGATGACTGCCTCCAGGAGCCAGCGGTGTTTTTATAAGCAATTTAATTAATGTTCCCAGAACCACTCCGAGTCAGGCTACAGGGTCTCGGGGAGGGTTTTCGCACCTCGCTAATTCAGAAACCTGGCAGCAACTGTGATTTTCTCCTGTTCAGGACCATGCAGATATAGAATGGAAGTTTGCACGAACCAAGCTGTGGATGAGTTACTTTGAAGAAGGAGGTACTCTGCCTACACCCTTCAATGTCATCCCGAGCCCCAAGTCCCTCTGGTACCTGATCAAATGGATGTGGACACACCTATGCAAGAAAAAGATGAGAAGAAAGCCAGAAAGTTTTGGAACAATCGGGGTAAGAACACAGCATGTTAGTATTCCTCCTTTTTTAAACCATGTATTTGAGGATGTTTGCATTCTGTATTGAATATTTTTGCATTTGTTGTCTTTTTGTTCTTACTGGTTGTATTTGGGGACCATTTATTGCACAGCTACGGGGTCTAAGGACACTGAATAGCTACGACTTACTCACAAACCCATTTCCTACATCAAGGGCAGTCCCTGTTTTTTTAAACTATTGAAATACAGTTTACATACAATATATGGGTTTCAGATTAACAACTCAGTGACTCTTCATTATGTACATTATTAAATGCTCACCAATTAGCATCTGTCACCACACAAAGATCGAAAAATAGTATGTGCTGTATTCCCTGGGCTGTACTTCCATCCCTCTGACTACAGTATTTTATAATCAGTCATTGCTATTTCAGCGGGAGCCACACTTTACGCAGGCCTGTCCGAGACCACCAGGCAGGACCAGGGAACTACCATATGCTCTCTTAGTACTTAATTTCTCGCTTTCTTCAGAACTGTAACCTCAGGTCATTTTGGCGTTACTTAACTCACTGCTGTTTCTGTCTCTGGATCGCAAAGGACACAAGCATTCAAGCAATTCCAGCAGAGAATTCATGGACTTGGCTGCAGCCAGACCATGGACATGGGACACGCGATTCTTCTTTGTCAATTTCCTAATTTTCAAAGTTCTTAAGTGGTGTTTTGGGAATTAATACCTTACCATTCTTCAGTCATTTTGACCTTCTCAGAAAAATCCCTCTGGAACTATTCTAATATGCCTTTATATCAGAAACACCCAGGAATCATAGTTATTTAATGAAACATTTTAATTTGTTTTCCATTGTATTTGACAAAGCTAAGTGACGGCTAGTTACAGCCTGAGTGGCCCTCTTGGTGACGCCGTCACCACTCGGCGTAGTTATAGGCATCAAATGGGACTTTCTCCCCTGAACGTGGTATTGATTTTCTGTCATCTCAGTAACAATTCTCATTCTAAAGAGAAATTGACTGGCAGGTGAGTACAGCGGACAGACGTGGGCAGGGGAGGCAGTTATGTTCTTCCCATAAACTGTCTCTCCGTGAACTTGGGGACTGAAGTTTGGGCGAATCTGATCTTAGAAACCAAAGTCAGATTCTGATGACGTCTTACCGTGAAATCCTCATACCACCTCATAGACTTTATCACCGACCTTAGAAAAAGTGAAATTATTTCACCCCAAATGTTTGATTTCTCTGTTAAAAAAAGACAAATTTAAATCATAAAAAAATACATGGTTGTGAAATAAATGTGATGAAGTAGGCTTAATAAGCGATTAAATCGTACATGTTCTGTATGCTAGCAGCCGAGTGAGGAACTGGGTGATGGAGGGAGGTCCGAAGGCATGATGTCTGTCCGTGAGGACATCATTTCTAATGTGAGAGCCATACATACGAGAAGACACTGCTCTAACGCACTTTACATAATAAATTTAATATTATAACATATTTCTATGCAACATGCTATAATGGTGCAAGAAATAATTCATGTTTTCCTTGAGAAAAACAGGAAAAGCTTTCAGAGAAACCAAACTCTGGCTTGCTCCCTTCCACATCAAAATAACTTGTCTTTTTCCCCATTTTATTCTTATATTCCTAAGAAATGTATTTAATCAATCTCCGAAATGATATTAATGATTAATTCTACCATATTATGTTCTCTCTCATAGGCTTGTTTTGATTTAAAACTATTTCTGGGCCCAGAAATAAAGGCCACACACACACACACACACACACACACACAAGAAATTTGCCTTCAGTACTTTTAGGCAGGAGCAGAGACAGTCTCGAGTTTGAAGATACCAGGAAACTTGCAACAAAATGTGGGGCCCTGGCCTGATATGTTCAGCAAGTCATCTTTGCTGCCACTAAAATAACGGAGAATCACCCTAAGAACTTGACTTACAACACGGCTCTCACTCCCCGGGATCATCCCACTGTTGACGCATAGTTAGAAATAAGTCATCTTCATTTCTTAGACCCAAAGAGGAGCTTCCCATCCATTTGGGCTCTGCTATTAAAGCAGTGATTCACACCTATTAGAGGCCAAGGGCAAATGGCATAAATTAAAGAGATTTCTTTCCTATACATTACTAGTCACAAAAAAACCCACATTTCTTTCTTTTGTCTTTACCTCTCAGGTTGAATATTTTGATCCAAACTGATGCACAGACAGATCATTCACAATTATTTGTGACCTCAAACCATCATATTTTCCTTAGCCGTGCAAATTTTACTAACCTTTGGTACTGGACATTTTGATGCTTTGGGAATTTATGACAAACTAAGAATACTGGGAGGCACGCCTCACTTCTCCGCCCGCATCGCACACCCAACTGTGCCCCTTCTCCACCAAGCCAAGGCTTTGATCAGCCTCAAGGCTATGAACTACTCTTTATCCAGATTGTATTTCAAAAACGAGGAGGACACAATATTTTGGCTTGCACACTCTCAGTTGAGTTTTATACATTTAGATTTCAGGTGGGAAAAAAAAATGGTATGTGTAAGATGACTGACAAGTAACTTAAGAAGGCTATAATGTTAATGGAGGAATTTGATGAGAAAATAATGATAAAAGGTAATTCATTTTTTTGTAAATTCATTTCAATGGGGTCACCTCTCCTGAGAATTTGGTGTGTAGGTATATGAGGATGAGGAGCTTTGCACATACGTGTTCATTAAAAGGTGAATCACAGTCAGGCCCTTCGGGCAGCCCAAGCGTGCACAGAACACTGCCTCACACCCAAGGGCCTCTGAAGGTCACTCAGCTCACACGCTTCCTTTAGGAAGAGCTTGTTTGCCTTGTCCGGCATTTCAGGCCTGCTGGTGACAGAGCTGGGCAAACACCTCGTTCCCAGTGCCAGGTGCCCTTTCCTGATGCCCCACGTGCCTGTGCCAGCGCCGTCCGCATGGGGTACTCATCCTCCGGATTTCCTCAGCCCCTTCCACGGGTCCTGTCCCTGTTTGTGTCTCTCCTGAGATTCCTGTGTCTCCAAGGCCTGTAGAACAGGCTGACTCACCTGCTCTCATCCCAACTTGCTTTTATTTTACGACACCACATTTCTGAGACAGAAAATCGAAGCTAAAACTGGAGATCGCATTTCTCATTCTTTGAGGCCTTTTCTCTGACTCCCCGCTTGTGATTCCCTTACTTGTGACTCCCCCAGCAGTGGCCTGAATGTGACCCGTGTCCCTTCCTTTCATGCACCCAGTCTGAGCCCTGGAGCCAGTGCCCCTGAGGACTGCACCGTCGGCCACCCTCCAGGGCCCATCGCTGGCGATCTTATCTTGCTGTTTATAGCTTTGGGTAACCCTGATACAACTGGCCCTGAAAGCTCATTAACTCCCTCCCCACTCTTTTGTAACTTCAGAATTCCTTTTATGGGTGATTGGGAGTTCCAGGTAAATTAACCTTTCATTTGGATGCTTTATGGGGGAAAGCATAAACGAAGCAGAAATACTTTATTGAGCAAGACCTTAACTGCAGGAAGCAAACCCATTATTAGGAAAGAGCTTGTCTTGTGGAATCATAAAAAATCCCACCACAGGGGCAGTTTATTGAGTGCACATCATAAAACAAGAAACATGCTATAGCTCTTGGTTTCTGATATTATTTCTTGACTTTTTGCTTAACCCCATTTTATCATGAAACACACTTCTCAGAACTAAAGCAGTTTCTCAAACTTTAGTGTGAACTGGAACCATCAAGACCCTCCGTTTTAACAAGCAGTTCCAGCTTGTAACTTGAATCAGAAACTCCTGTTTCACAAAAGCATCGATGTCTAGTCCAGCTTTTTCAATTAAACATCGTTTGTAATTGTTGCTCACCAGGTCCAAATCATTGAATTAAAGTATAAAAATGTGAATGCATAATTTCACCAAAATATTTAATTAACCTGAAACATTGTAATGCTCTAGACTATAGGTTTCTAAATGCAATGCTTAAGTTAATAGGCCAATACACTGAACAAAAAAAAATACCAGGTCTTTTGAACACATTTAAAAAAATGATTTTAGATTCTTCAGTTTTTTGTTTCCCACTTTCTAGTTTCTTCTTCGGCACATACAGTGGGGAGAACCTGAAACACCGTGTCCCGTAGGGCCCTTTAGCATCAGTCAACTCCGCGACTACAGATGGTATAGTCATGCCTGACTGCTTATCCCAGAAGTATGCTCAGTAAAGTCACTGGAAGAGAATTCGAAACGGTAAATAGCTGAGCACCCCGTCTCATCATTAAAGGAAAAATGCCAATGGCACACGCCTTTCAGACTTCATTTTTAGTGGTAATTTATCACAATGTATTGTTCCTTAATCTTCATGACCCTCAGTAGGCAACTGATAAATCTTACAGCTATGACTTTATTCAACCATGAGTCTCTCTCAGTCCTTAATTTACTGTTGTAAGATTTAAGGACAAGGCCTTTTCATTAAGTTTTCTTTCCAAGCAGGGATGTAGAGGAAGGAATGGCTTGATAGTCTTGGTATTTCCAGACTGAGATCCTGAGCACTTAGTTTGACAAGGCGACATTCAAGCATCGTATGTAGTTTATTTTTGTACGCTTAGAAAGGGTGTTTATGGAGAACAATATGTGGCTCCATCTGTAAATGAGCCAAATGGCAGTTTTTAAAAAGTGAGCGTATCCCAGAATGGCCCCTTGCCTTTTTACTTGTATTTAAAAGGAGAAGAATACAGAAAGCTGCATCCCTTAAGGGATTCATTGAGCAAAACAAGAAATAGAAGGCAGAAGTCATGGACTTAAAATCAGTGACGGAGCAAAGCTGGAGCAGAAATGAGAGAAAACCGCACTGACAACTGGCTGCAGGGAACCAGCCTGACGTTCCGTGGTGGACCGGGACAGAACTAGAGAGAAAGAGTGAGAAGATGTCAGAGGATTGCCTGGAGCCCTTTCTTTTATAGCTGCAAGACCGTCCCTGCTCTAAAGCAACCTGACACTGTGGTG